ATTGCGTTTGCTTTCAACTTTTTCCAATGGCTCCGTCGCTGAAAGCAAACGCAATATTTCTAGATGCCTGGTCTGAATGACTTGAAATGATCCCAACTTTTTTCACTAGGTGGGCATGCCCTCATAGGCATCCATGCCAGATTTGAACAATTTCCGACACCGTATGCAAGTTGCGACACATCGAGCCTTTTTTCTGCATTTTCTTACCGAGAAAACTCTAGAAAAAAATACAAAACTTGTCAGAAACCAAAACAACTTGTCATGGTGTCTTGAATTTGTCATACGAGGCAATGAAAAAAATTATGTCCATTTCAAGGATGTCGAAAAACAATGTGCTCTCTGACATACCCTGCTAGCCAACCTAAACACCTTCAATTGAACATGGTGTTTTCATGGACATCCTTGAAATTATCACAACTTTTGCCACTAGGTGGAGATGCCCATGGTAGGCATCCATGGCGGGTTTCAACTACTTCCAACACCATATGCAAATTGCGACTCATCTAGCCATTTATCGACCTTTTTGACAGAGAAAACTTTAGAAGTGCAAATCTTGCCGAAAACCCAAGCAACTTCTATTGGTGTCTAGAATTGGTCATACAAGCCCATTAAACAAATATTAGGGGCATGGATGCCTACTATGGGCATGCCACCTGCTGACAAATGTTGGGATCATTTCAAGAATGTCTAGAAAACACCATATTCAACGTAGCGTGTCCGAGTAGTCATCCAGGCCAGGTTTGAAGGGAAAATGTATTTAAATCATAATTTATGTAGATACTTAAAACTGTCATTTTAAGTTTCTAACAGAACTAACAAATACAAAATGATAGAATTGAAAAGAACAAATGCTTTTTAAAGCATTTAATAAATAACTAAATAAAAATTATTAAAATCATAATTTAAAATAGTTACCTAAAACTGTCATTTTGGTATTTCAATATTTTGAATAGGTTTAAAAAATATTAATGTTTAGAAAGGAGAAATGAATTTTTTAAAAAAAGATCGAAAAACGAAAAAAATAGAAAAGTAAAAAGAAAATCTTAGGCCTTTCCCAACTAAGCGACGACATTGGTCCTGTTGGGCGACTATTGGAATTTGTTCGGAATTTAAAAAATGTTCTCATTTAAAAAAATCACAAATTGGGAAAATGTTCGGGCAAATTTAGAACACTTTTTATATCATTTATTTAGTCTCATTTCTCAAAAATGTTTTGGAATTTAATATTTTGTCCGTGCTCTCAGAAAATTTTTGTTTTCACAATGTGTTCGTGCTTTTCAAAAAAATTATTCGCATTTTGTCATTCTGAACGAGTTTTTAAAGACACAAACATTTTTGAAATTACCTTACAATTTTCGAAAATGCAAATATTTATTAATTTATGAACAAAATTTCGAAATAACAAACCTTTTCAAAGTTTGAATAACATTTTGAAAGCGTGAGCATTTTTTGAAAAATAAATAAGAAACATAACAGGAAAAGGAAAATACATAAATAAATAAAAATAAATTATGGAAAAAAAGACCAGTTCACAAAGTGTTTCTAAAATCTTTTTAAAATTCCCAGCCCATCCATTACTTAATGTGTCTAGCTTTATATTGGTCACCAAAGTTAACCTGTCGCAGTGGCCCAAGTAAGCTGCCCTGCGTATACGTTTCTACAAAAGTATATACAAATTGTGAAAAGTCCATACTGCCCTTTATACATATTGCAAGGGGGGTTGGCGGGACTCTAATCATCATCGTTTTTAGCACCGTTGCCCAGCTGACTAACCGTTTCAAAAGAGCAACTTCATGTTCAGTTCCTGTAAAGCCCCAAATTTCTACCTCTTGGAGGCGGTCCAGCAGGAGTTCTTCGGTTTTCCAGTGTGGTGGCTGATCGTATATGCAGTCTGAGGAGCAGAACGCGGTTTGTGCCTCAAATATGAGGGAAATGTGCCGTTAGTCCATTAACTCAAATTGATTGCACATTGTAGGCCAAAAACTCGGGATGTGGTCAGATCTAGGCTATAAACTCATTTATTTCATCAAATAAGGCCAAAACCGATTCATGAGGGGGGAAACCGGCCATGTGGCTACCACATCAGGGCACCATGGATTAATGTGTAGCGTGTAGTGTGTGTGTGCGCGCGCGGGCACGTGCGTGTGTGTGTGTTCACAAACTGGCCCACGGTCACAATGTAGCTAATGGCGTATTGAGGAGAAAAAATAAAAACCGATTGTTCCATGGGATTCGAAAAGTGCAATCAGCTTGCTGGCCACTAGAGCATTAGGTTGTTTGTGTAGTATAAGATATTAAGATGCAGCAGACAGTATCTATTAGATTGAGCAAAGGGTGCAAAGTTATGCCTGACCAAGTTATGGCTGGAACCTACCTTTGCTTTCATGACAAGAATTATCCAATGGCATGTCACCACGGCACAGGTCAGGTCATCTGAATTCACAAGAAACCAGACACCTTTTGGGTGAGGCATACAATGGCCTTCTCCATCACAATAATCTGGCCAATCTGGCATGGAGTACACTACTGTACTTGTGTTTAGATGGAGGCATGCATGCAGCACCCAGAGTTTGCAGCCATATGTTTCAGATGACTGTTGTGCACAGAATGATGCCCCCAAAGGTCCCGAGATATATAAACAATGTACATGAACCTGCTTTACCAAGCTAAAGCATGCGTACGGTGCAAGAATTCCTTTGCATCCTTTGCTCATTGTAATGCATACTGTCTGCTTCATATCAGGGCAACTCTAGCAGATCCTTTGCTCATTGTAATGCATACTGTCTGCTTCATATCAGGGCAACTCTAGCAGATGTGCCATATTGGTCCGATCGCCATAATAACCGCCCGTAAGGCGGGCCGAAATGGATGGTCTAGCAGAGTCGCCATACGCCCTCAGTCTGCATAATTGATGGATGCTGCTCCAAATCGAGCCCGCGAGCCTCCATATTTGGAGGCTTGGGGTGCGGATATGGAGGGGCCTCCAAACCCAACCGCTCGTGTGGGAGGGAAGTTTCAGCCCGGCCTCTTCCTCCCGCGTGCAACATGGTAAATGCACTGTCATCCGTACGACTGCCGCTTCTGCCCCTGCCTAGGGCGCAACCGCTTGTCCACAGGGAAGAGCACCCATTAATGGCCGCCGCCGCGTTTCGCACCCGTTTCCCACTGGACACTTATCCGCAGGTATATAAACCGGGCCACCCTGCTCGGCAGCACCACTCACCCATCTGCCCCTTTGGCAACACCACTCCTCACCTATCTTCCCCCTTCCCCCTTGTCGACACACTTAACCCGATCGGCATGTCACAGCAGGCACGCCATCCTCGCGGACCTTTCCTCGGCGAGACTGAAGAGGATTGAGCCGAGAGAGAGTTCTGTGAGAGATGTGGGACTACTCCGACTGGGTCAAGGAGGACGCACCCTGCAAGGCAGAAATGGACACAACGCTCACACCGGTGTTCAGAAATGTGGCCTTCTCGTGCATCAAGGATGGGTGTTTGTCCACCGCGTGGCCGCAGAAATCACGGCAGCCAAGGCATCCCCACCTGCGAGGTCACTTCCAAACGGAGGAAGAGGCCGTAGTAGAAATCATAATTGAAATGGTGGTTTAAATCCTAGTTGTAATCTCATTGAACTTTGTTGAAATCCAGTATGAAGTTTCCATTGTTGAGATGGGGAAGGGAGAGGTCTTGCCAATGACAAGGCAAACGGATCCCACACAGGGAAAAAAATTGGAATCTCGGTTTATGGCGATTCCGAGTTGGCGCTTTGCCTTGGCAACCTCCATAATACTACGGACCATGCTCCCTACGCGTTATGGAGGCTGCCAATATGGCAAATCCGCTAGAGTTGCCCTTAGCACACAAATCACTTAATTTTCTAGTGGTTAGCAAGCCGCTTGCTCCTACCCTCACAGTGTGGGTTCGAGTCCCACACAACATGCAGTTATTTATTTATTTCCTCAATACGCCATTAGGGCATGTACAATGGTGCTATCTTAGGAGTGCCACATAGGATCAATGATGAGGTGGATGAGAGAGAACTCATAAGAAAAGGTTTGTCTTCTCTTATTTAAGAGAAGACAAGAGATGATCTCTTAGCACAATATGTCTCACCACGTTTTTAGGAATTGCTAGTTATTGAAGATAAGGCTAAGAGATGACCCATTGTAGACTTTCTTTTTTGTCATCTCTAAATTACATGCAAAAGTTAAGATAAGACTATCCTATCAACCATTGTACATGCCCTTAACTACATTATATTGTGACGACCAGTTTGCATAAAACACCCTCTACACATTAATGGTTAACCCAAGCGCGAGAGGTTCAAGGTATGCTGACATGGCAGTCACGTGTCCGGGTTTTTTCCTCTCGAATCGGCTTTGGCCTTATTTGATCAAACAAACGAGTTTATGGTCTAACTTTGATCACTTCCTGAGTTCCTGGCCTAAAGCATGGAACCAGAGTCAATGGACTAATGATGCATTTCACTCCTGAAATCAGAGGGGTTTCAGCTTAATAAAGATGAAGTTATAAAGTTTATATTTGGTTGCTATAACCTTGGTGACATCTTACAGATCAGTCATCATGTCTTTCCTTCTAATACAAACATTAAGCATTAGGTTGCATGTCCATGAATATACATCGAAGCCACTTACTGCAGAAATGTGATTCTTCAATGCAAATAAAAAGTGAAACCTATTACACAGTTACCGACCAGTAGTATCGCCAATTTCTTAACCAAAGTAGTATTGCCAATTTCTGAAACACTAAAACACTAAGGGAGAATGGTTGTAGCCACAGATAAACTTTACAGTGTATCATTACTGAACTAAAATCAAGAGCAGAGAAACTATCACCTCAAGCGGTCAAGCCTATTCATGCTTAGTAAGAAATGCAAATATGTATTGACATATTGCTTTATGTGACTTTCTGGTAACTGAAGCATGAAGTATCAGACAAAAAAAATTAAGGATTGCATTACCTCCAGTTGGCTAGGTTTCACAGGAAATTTAATAAGAGTGCTTTTAAACAAGGGCACATCCTAAGAACATGGAATACGCTGGCTCCAAATGAATGTACATATGCAGTTACATCCAGGTTCAATATTGTAACGTCGGGAAGACTTGTCATATCTTCCATCAAGTATTCCATATTACCAATGACCTGTAAGTTCAAAGGGAGTCACAAAAAGGGCTTGTATATAATATTTTTATCAGGACAAATACAAACATCGATTTTTTTACAGTGTGAACAAACACAGGATACAAATAATGCGGGTTTTTTCTCCACTCTTCAGAGGTTCATGTCCCCTTGACAGTGTAATATGCTTCAGCAGTAGCGTTAGTGAGCATATTTAATATGAACTACTGGTAGAGAATGGAGTTAACCAAGCAATGTTGAAGGAAGACTTTTGTATGGTTTTTTCTTGGCAGACATATGAAATGACAAATTCCCCAAGTTGAACTCTGCACGGATGCTTGCCTTGTTATCTATCAACATTCAACAATGAAGTCATAACACAAATAAGGATGAACTCACCGGCGGATAGATAATATAGAGATTGAGGACACTGAGACGCTCAAAGTGCTGCAGAATGCTCATGCAACAGCGATTTTGTAGAGCAAAGGAAATCGGTCCATAGACAAAGAAATTTCCAGTGACAAGACATTGAAGATGTGCCATCTCCCCAAGCTGGAGAGAGCTCGGAACAAAATCACACGTCCACAAGAGCAACTCCAGGCGAGGGGCTGAGATGTTGGCAACTGGCTGACTTGGATTCAGCCCATCGGTAAAGCAACCCATGATGATTAACATTTGGAGTGACGGTGCCCCGACAATGAGCTGCTGCATGTCAGGTAGTTTCAATAGCTTCAGTTCTAGGAGGGACTTGGAATGAATTGTGAAGTTGCCCAGACCACGAGCATTCTGGACACTGAGAATCTGCAAGGATGGGCACCGCGGGGAGGAGAGAGCGTTGCCGAGACTGCACTGGCCATATAGGTGGATGCCAACCAGCTCGAGAACGTTGAGCCGGGCGAATACGCCGGAAGGCGGCAGGACGAGGCGAAGGAACGAGAACTCGAGTATGACCGTGGTGGCTCGCTGGAAGCAAGGAAGCAGAATCGCCCCTCTTTGCTCGGGCTCCAGCTCGGCGACCTCCTCGTTGTCGTGCCACACCACCCTGAGGAGCATGGATCCGGTGAGGCGGCGTGCGACGTTGGGGAGCCAGACCGCCAGGTACTCGACGGAGGCGTGTCGGGTGGCGACCCGGAGACCGCGGAGGTCCGGCACTTGGTGTGCGGCGAGGGCGGAGACTATGCGGTGGTGCTCGATGCCGTCGGCGAAGGTGAGCTGCGGGAGGAGGGCCCAGAGGCCGCGCCACCGTCGGGCGAGGATGCTGGTCCGGGCGGCGGCGGCGGCGTCGCGGAGCTGGAGGAGGATGTGGACGAGCATGTCGTCTGGAAGCGCGCTGATGAGGTCCTCGCCGCCTGCTCCGGTGTCGGCGTAGGAATCCCGGCGCCCGACGCTCTGAGCAGTCCCCATGGAGTTGCAGGTGGCCGGGGGTGGGGAATGGGACGGAGAAGCCGGATGCCGGCGGAAGGGAAATGGTCGGCGGAGTCGCCACTCGCTGCTGCTGCGAGCTCGATTTGGGGACTAGGGTTATTTGGATTGGAATTGTTTGTTTTTATTTTCATTTTGTGAGAACCAGGGCCCAGACTCGTGAGATATATAGGCCTCTTTGCAAATTTTCATGGATTGAAGGATGATAATCTTCAGAAGTTTATCTTCATCCCAGAATCTGGCCTTTCGTCAAAAAGAGTGTGGCCAACTGAGCAAGCTCTATTTGTTGTTTAAAAGGAAAGACCGGTCTACATATTTAATGATTCAAACCCAGAATCTGGCCTTTCGTCAAACGGAGTGTGGCCAACTGAGCAAGCTCTATTTGTTGTTCAAAAGGAAAGAGTGGTCTACATAATAGTCCCACCTCGCTTCCTTGCCATAATCCCTCCTGATTTATATATGTTTTCTAGGTTCATAGTATGTCTCAAGGAGGTGTCTCGGGAATCAAAAGGATTTCAATCCAGAGAGAGATAACCAGGGGAAAGGATCTCCTGGAGGAAGAGAGACCAAATATAGCGGCTAATTATGACGAGGGA